TGTCTAGTACAAATGTCTCCAAAACTATGGATTCGTGTCAACGACCGACACTATCTGCAATAGCTTCATGTCGTTCACCGCTACAGCGTGTTTCACCTTTACCAGCGCTTTCGATCTTTTGATATTTTTATAAGAAGCCAGCAGCGTCCTACACACTCCATTACAGGTAGGGCTCTTACGGAAGCTCCACTACAAATTCTTCGTTATGGGCACCATTGTGTAGGTAGAGGTCTAGGCTGCGAAACTCCAGAAGCTGGCCGAGGCAGCTCGTCAGGAGCCCTCGTACCGCGACAATATTTATTTCTTTCATGACATTGCGAATCACCATGATCCGAAATGAGCCCGGTAAGAAATTCTGGAGCTGCGGCAAGATTTCTTACCTCTCTTAGCGTATTCCCCTGGTCGAGCTATAAATGACTGCCACCTATCCTGGACCTTAATCATCATCTTGATGACGAAATAATCAACTCCAACTCGAAAGTGAGGTCGCCTCCTTTCTCGACCCGCACTCCGCTGGGTTTTGGCAAAGGAGCATCAAGAAATTTTCTGAGCGTTGGAAGACAAGTGGTGGACACTCATGGTAGATATAAGACCGGTCAGGAGTTGTAACCAAAAAAGATAAAATTAAAATCAAAAATTTGAAAAAGGACTTTCTTTCCAACCTAATATTGGAAATTCCTTGATAGAATGGAATAAGCGCTTCAATTTCCAACTGAGATCGTTCGATTTGAATTTAGCAAAGTGTGTTCACTACCGTCTTGAATGTGAAGAGAAGTGACTATTTTTTGCCCCCCCCCCCCCCTCCTGTACATATTCTTGGCTAGAGGTCGCTCTGAATTGTGATCCAGTAACGAAATCTTAGCGAAACTTCAGCAGTACTCACCAATAACAATACGTGTAAATTTCATGCACGTAAGGTAACACGAGAGGGAATAAAAAGCCAAATGAATAAGACACTTGATCCCGTGATCCGAGACCAGTTAGCTAGCGACACCTACGCCGCTTTGTTGAGTTTATATTTGACATTGCTGTTCCTGGATACTTGGTATGATTTATTAGATCAGTGATGTCTCGGCTTATCACTTATTGTTAGAAGTAGGTGTCTGGGCGAGATGAGATCCATTTCTTCAATGCCGGAATCGAACGGATTTTCTCGGCGTGAGCTTTAATCTGAAAACCACATAACTGGCAAGCTATATGAGAAGACAAAAACTTCACACTTTTCAGAGATTCCAGCAAATAGTTATGCCTACTGATAGAAATAGAGATAGAAAGTACTATGAAGTCGAAGCCCACCTCAGGAAAACCATCATAGAGCGTCGGATACTTCTCGGACCATGTGGCTATGTCAGACACCAAAAGATCAACCCATGTCAACGAGTCTCCAACGAGATATCCTGAACATTTCTTCCAACAAAATCTAGGCATTTTAATTCTCTTCTAACAAGCGGACGAAGTACCACGGGAATACGATGGTATTACTCCTTGTTCCTACAGTTAAAAAGTTATATTGTTCCAAACAGGAGCACGTAATTGACAGCTGGTGGCAAAGTAGCTCTAAAACTTGCTACCAGCTGTACAAAAAATAAAGTAGAACGAGCCCTGAAGTAGAGCTGTTAATAGGTTAAAATGAAGGAGAGAGAACTCCCCATTAGTACTTGAATAAGGGTTTTCACTACTCCCGGGAGTTCATGCAGACGACTACCGGAGCACTAAACAGGCAAGACATGCATTTTTGAAGAGCATATCGTAGGGAGGCGTGTATGGAGCACAAGACCGTGCTTCATTTTCGGTGAATGGTGTTCGTAGCGCTGAATATGGTGGACTATCCATCGATAGTTCAATTCTCGGTGGTGACAAAATTTTGCATTTTATGTTGATGCTCCTCAGTTGCGCCGAGATGGCGACAAATGTCGAAATCTGATGCCATTTCGTGATCACAAGCAGATGGACACCAAACAGACGTCAACTCTAGACTGCAAATCACGAGGAAAGCGTGAGGAGAACAAATCTTCCCTACTTTTTGGCTCTGCTAAAACCGTTCTGCAAAAACGAACCACGATTTGGCGTTCCATGCATGAGTCCCTACGAAATTCAAACCGCCGTTCCGAGAGAGTGCGATTGGCCTTAGACGACCCTTCCGTAAGGAACACTGTACGCCGAAGAGAGCAACAGATTTGGAAAAGAGAGAGTACTGAGGATGAGGGGCAATGAGAGACAAAGGTTCTGATGACGCAGTCTCGATTTTTTTTGCGTGCGATGATGTTCCTAGCACCTTTACTACATCACCGCGATGGCGGCACATCTGCGACCTTGGTGAACAGTTCCGTCCTGCCCAAAAATTGATTTATCTCAATTCATCGTGGAGTGTGCTTTCAAGAAGGCTACCTCTGCCAATAACCTCATAGGTGGAGGCGCGTGAGTGGAGGAACTCGGAGTACATGGGAGAGCACGTGAGAGAGTGTCAGAGATAAACGAACGAGAGATTTGCGGCTATTATCCTCTAGAGGATGCACTAAGGAACAAGTGCTTTTATACTCATGGCGCACAAAGGAGAACGCAGTCCGCGTGATTGTGAAGAAGAGGGAGGGGTAGTGTGGCCGAGAGGAAGTTGCAATCGTACAGCACCTCCTATTGCACTACTCTCAAGACCCATTCTAACTTACAGTTAACATCTAAAAACAGTGAATACCGTGAGAATTGTTTTTTGAAAGCGAAAAGGTGGCCCTTTGGCCACTCAAAGTGCATAAGGTCAGCTAGAAAGTGACAGCCGCAAATGGTGATTCATTAGTTCGCTTCTCTGCACTCGCTCAGCACATCATACGCTCCCACTTTCATCATACTGAACATTTGCTAGTTACTGATGAAAAGCTTACCAGACTTGTTGTTCTTCAGAAATTTCGTAAGAAATCCGAAAAGCTTCTGGTTAGCTGGCAGAAAAACGTCCTTCACCACGGCTTCCTAAATTAGTCCTATCTCATAGGATGATGCTTTCGTTTGCAACAAAGAGTACTGTATTGCACGCATCAGAAGCTGGTGACTCTTATGCAATCCTCCTCACCAAATCACCCTTCTCGAATCCATGCAAGACCATGTAGAACTGCCGAATTTCGCGTGTGTAATCCTTGTATAAATCGGCGATCGAATCGAACGAATGGCTTCCTCCCAAGCGCTTTTGCCGGCAAGACCTTAACAACACTGCAAGCTTGTTTACTTTCCGATTTGAACTTAACATGATTATTTGGTCGTGCATTAAGAGCATATAAGAAAGCATATTGGAAAAGGAAATAGGTACCAAAAAGGAGTGGCGTTTAGAAAGCTTAATGGAGGCTGGCTCCATTTAAGGAGTTCATTGGCGCCTAGCGTACCCTTTTTGAAGTCTGGTGGAATCAAGTCTTGTGACGTTCCGCTCCAGAATGGACTTTTTGACGGGCACTCTTGGGGTAACCCGCGGTGGTGTACGTCGTCCATCTTTTTCTCCCTCTCCCTAGGCGACCTGCCTTAAATGATTTACGCTTACCGAAACTCCTAGCCAAATAGCGAGCGATGGCATGCGATTGAGCAAGCTGCTTCCCATCGACTTCAAGTACTGGCACTTGACCGAACGGCAACTCTAAATGCACCAATATAAGAGCTACAGTTTACAAGGATTTCATTCATTGCTCAACTGTATTGGATATTATATGTATTTTCACCTTCTTTACGCTTCGGGAACTCCTCAAAACTGTAGCGCACATCTTCGAAGTCACTCCCACCTACGACTAATATCTGGAACATTGTAAGGTCCAAGAGAAATTTTCAATAAAAAATCAAGCCTTTACGAAAAGGATAGCTCACTTGACGAATAATTTCTGCAAGACCACGGCCATCAAAATATGTCAGCTTGTAATGAACCATTCTGAAAAAGTATTGAGTGAAACGAATGTTGGCAAGGCAGAATTTGTTCGTGGGTGCTATGTGTGTCGTATGGGCACGCCGATTTTTGAGTAGACGGAACTTCGAAAAAGTTGACCATGCTTACTCACCCCAGTCCCCTTCTTTTTTGCCTTGCTCCAGTATAAGGAACAACTACGGGGTGGCTCAGCACATCATATGGGGCAAGTAATAATATGGAAATCGGAGTGTCCACCGACTCACTTAGCGTCCAGTTTCCTTTCGAATCCAATCAAAAGCTACAGAAGTTATGGAGGGAAGCTTACGATTTCAAAACTTATCGCTTAAAAAAGAAAGGGGAAAGTATGAGCGTTGGGTGGCCTTCGTTCTTTGTCGGTGCATCCGGCCAAAAAACATACACTAATT